AGATAACGCCACCAGAAACCTGGGGGCAGCTCGTTAAGCTGCCGCCATCAGCAAGGTCCCGCCCCAGGACCTTTTTTTATTTTTATTGTAAAGTTTTTTATTGATTTCTCAATTTTAAAAATGTAAACATTCCATTTGTTTTTAAAGAGTATGTCGTCTGGGTACAAATATTTCTGTGCAACATCCTTCCATAGATTATAATACACCGAACAGTTAAACATTGCAACTCATTTCCTTCTTAACATATCTTCTAATGAAAATACAATAATAACATTAAACATAGTTATTCTCATCATACTAAAACGAACAGTTGTCATTTTATTCTTATCTCTGTCTTGATATATTTTTTATTCTTCTTTTTGCTTTCTTTTATTTTCAATTTCCTTTTTTATTCTCGAACTGTTGGTAAAACATATGATATTCCCATATCATATAATGTTCAGTTTGTTCTTTCTCCTTAATTGCTAATGTTAATCTATTCATTTCTACACATTCTAATATTTTCCTAATCACCTTCTCATCAGTAGAAATTCTTCACTTTTCCAATATTGTGCAAATACAATTCTTGAGAATTTTTAGTACTTTTGAAAGGGCCCTGAAAAGTTGCTTTGAAATTTTCAAAAGCACAAACACATAAACTTCTGATAACTGAAAGGTATTTGCTTCCTTCAGTTAAAATATGCTTAGAAAACAGCATATGGATATGATTGAAACGAGTGGTTTGTAAGAAGAGGAAATTATGAAGAGGTGTTGTAAAACATTGTTGGCATTAACCATGTAGATATATTGTATTTCCTCTCTTTCTTATCTCAAGCCTTAATTTCTTGGGTTTGCCGTTTCTTATTGTTCTGTTTTTGTATAGCATGATTTGCCCTGAAATGGAACAGCGTGGTAGTTACATATGGATGGATATTATCAGTAGATTAGATTACAATTTCTTCAGGAAATTGGTTCGATATTTGCTTTGCTTTTTTTCAGTCAAAAGTTGGTGCTGAGCAAACTTCAACCGTGAAACTCCCCATCAAAGTGAAAATTGTCCCAACCCCCCCTCGGAATAAGCGCATCTTGTGGGATCAGTATCACAATCTTTGCTATCCACCAGGATATTTTCCAAGGGATAATTTAAGAATGAAGAATGATCCATTAGATTGGTATGTTTATCTTTATACGGTTCCAATAATTATTTATGGATGATAAGATTGACCTATTAAGAAATGCAATTAGCTTAGTGTAAATTCTCATCCATTCTTAGTGATTTTTTATTCTGAAGATATACCCTGTTTGAAAAATCTATGTATCTATATCTACATTTCTTCTTGCAAATATGTACAATGTGTATATAGGAAATAAAAACCTTTTTAAAATTAAAACTTAAAAACCTTAAAACCTTTTAAAATAAGGTAAGAATATATATACCTTTGCTGAAACTTGTTTGAATAAGGTCTGGCTAGTTTGAAAAGGTCTTTTAATTTTGGGCTGTTGGTTTAAAAGTCTTCTAATACTTTCTAAATTTGCACTTCAATTGATTGGCAATTTATTTTCAAGTTAAAATATAATCATATATAGAAAAGCTATGCTTATTTATGTTCTTTCAGTATTTTGATAAAATTGTTAGAGAGAGAGAGAGAGAGAGAGAGCAGCAGCCTGGCAAATAATGACACTTCAATACTGAGCTTTTTGAATGTTCCTGTTCTCTATTTAGTTCAAGTTTTGCAATATCTCCTCTTCCTCTCCCCTGTTTCTCTTCTTTCCTCCTCTTCTTTCCCCCTCCTCTCTTCCTCATCTCCCCCTCCTTTTCCTTCCCCAAGAATTTCATTCCATAAAAAGTATTTTAAATTCCTGGTATACCAAAAGCAAGTTGAGAGTTGATTAGGCTAAATATTTGATTTGTTCCCTTCTTTAGGAATGGTGACCACATTCATACCAACTTCAGAGATATGTACCAACATCTGAGGAGCATGGGCTATTTCATTGAAGTACTTGGCTCACCATTTACATGCTTTGATGCCAGTCAATATGGTAGGTAATTAAAAGTTGGTGTTTACTTCCTTTTAAATTAATCCAAACCTTCTTTGTTTAGGATTTCAAAGCCTAAAGTTAGATGGATTTCAGGCTTGCATTCATCTAATTGTTTACTAAACAACAAACATTTCTACAATCCGGACGCAAGTATAAAATATGTCTATTTGAGTTGAAAAGAAGGATGTCTCTGAGGACAAGGGATTTATTTTTAGTGCCAGATCTAAATTGTGCTCAAGACCTGGTATCCCTCATTTTGTGCATTTTTGCAGCTCAATTTAGGTGGAAAATGCCATTTACCATATTTTTCAGACTGTAAGATGCTCCGGACCATAAGATGCACCTAGCTTTGTGGGAGGAAAAAAGAAAAAACAATCTGCCTCTGCCTCCCAGCAATTTGCCTCCTTACAGCAAGCAGCAAACAGCCTGGTCAGCTTCAGCACAGCTTGATTTAGCACAAGTAGCTGATTGGCTATTGGATCAGCCTCCTGGAATACTGCTGATCAGCTGTTCCAGGCTGTGGAAATTGTCGCCGCCACCTATTGCTGCCTCCATGCCCCATTTTCATCCTCTGCGCGTCCCATTTTTGGCTTCCATGTGCTCCATTTTCAGCCCATTCCAGGCGGTGGGGATCACCGCCGCCTATTGTAACTGAACGGCAGGCTGGAACGGGCTGAAAACAGGGCACATGGGGGCTGAAAATTGGGTGCACAGAGGCTGAAAATGGGGTGCACAGAGGCGATGATCAGTGGCGGCAATGGGCTGTGACGATGATGATGGGTGGCGGTGATCGCACAGCCTGGAACAGCTGATTAGAAGTATTCCGGGAGGGTTGTGCTGAAGCTGACCAGACTGTTTGCTGTTTGCTGCAAGGAGGCAAACTGCTGGGAGGCAGAGGCTGAATGGTGTGTGTGTGTGGGCCTTTGGCTACATTCGCAATATAAGATGCACAGACATTTCCACCCCCTTTTTGGGGGGAGGGGTGCATCTTATAAACCAAAAAATATGGTAATCGTTATAGTAAAAGAAAATGGAAGAATAGTACTTGAAACTGACATCCAATAGGGCAGCAGTTTTGAAGTGTGCTGCTGTTCCTGGTAGTTACACTTGAACATTTTTATATGAAAATTCAAATTACCATCTTTCAAAGTTGAGAACAGAATATTGTTCTTTATAATTATCAGGTTGTTGAAACCCTTAAGAAATGAACTTCAGCTCCTGAATCTTAAGTGCTTTCTTAATGCAACGTTGTCATTGTTATTCAGTAGAGTTCATTAGGCTGATCTAATTTTGGGCTTTTATTATCTTTGATTTACAGTGTCAACATTTTCTCTTGACCTTTTTGAACAGCTATTTAACATTCAGTGCCTTTTATCATAGAAGAGGACCTTAAGGGTGATGTTACGCAGTTTAGGATGAAAAGCACACAGATTTTAGTATTCATAAGGAGCCTAAAGCTGCATTCACAAACACAGACTTACTCCCAACCCCGAATTAACAAAACGATTCCTCTGCTGACTCCATTATATTGTTTAAGACCCCAATAAAACATATTACGGCTTAACATGATGACGGGTTCATCCAACTTCTTAAGCAAGGGATGGATTTTCTTGAGAGACAATGGATCACAAATTATCTAGCCCCATTTATCTTAATATTTATGCAAGCTATCAGGCACAAAAGATCAGGACCATAGCTAAAGTTGCAGCACAGAAGATTTGCAAGAATCTAATGGTCTGCACCAAGGGTCAAAGGAACTCAAGGGGGGCTGGACTTGAATTGTTTGTGGCAACGCAAGGACTCTAAGCTGATGAGATGTTTAACTCCGCCCCCAGCTCTGCCTGCTCTTCTCCTACATAAGCCTAATCATAGTGCGTACAGGTACTCCTTGACTTATGCCTACAATTGGGACAAGAATTTCCATTTCTAAGCGAGGCAGTTGTTAAGTGAGTTGCACCCAATTTTACAATTTTTTTTTGCCACAGTTGTTAAATGAAACATGTGATCGTTAAGCGAATCTGGCATCTCCCATTGACTTTGAAGCTGGCTGAGAACATCATAAATGATCATCACATGACATTGGGAGGCTGCCACTATTATGAATAGAATAGAATAGAGGAATAGAAGAAAGGAAAGGAAGAGAAGATAGAATGGAATGGAATAGAATAGATTATTGATTATAGAGAAGGGAAGGGAATGGAATAGAATAGAATAGAATTCTTTATTGGCCAAGTGTGATTGGACACACAAGGAATTTGTCTTTGGTGCAGATGTTCTCAGTGTACATTAAGAGAATAAAATACAAAGAATAAAAAGATAACAACACTTACTGATAGTCAAGGTTATTAATAAGCTATCAAGTCGTATTAGGAAACAAAAACAATATAAATTGAAAGATACAGGCAACATGGTTATAGTCCTAAGTGGGAAGAGATAGATACTTGGAAGGAATAGAAGAATAATAGTAATACTTCCTTAGTAAATCATTGACAGTGTTGTGGGAATTAAGCAGAGTGATGGCATTGGGGAAAAACCTGTCCTTGTGTCTAGTTGTCTTGGTGTGCAGTGCCCTATTGTATCTTTTTGAGAGCAGAAATTGAAATAATTTATGTCCAGGATGTGGGGGGGTCTGTAGATATTTTCACGGCCCTCTTTTTGACTCGTGCAGTGTACAGGTCCTCAATGGAAGGCAGATTGGCAGCCATTGTTTTTTCTGCAGTTCTAATTATCCTCTGAAGTCTGTTTCTGTCTTGTTGGGTTGCAGAGCCAAACCAGACAGTTATGGAGGTGCAGATGACAGACTCAGTCATTCCTCTGTAGAACTAAATCAGCAGCTCTTTGAGCAGTTTGAGCTTCCTGAGTTGGTGCAGAAAGAACATTCTTTGTTGTGCTTTTTTGATGACGTTTTTGATGTTAGGTGTCCATTTTAAGTCTACATGCTAGTTGCCAAGTGCCTAAATTATGGTCATGTTGTGATGGTTCTAAGTGTGAGCATCTATTGTAAGTCACTTTTTTCAGTGCTGTTGCAACTTCAAATGGTCACTAAACGAATAGTTGTAAGTCAAGAACGATCTATAAATAGATAGACTGCATACATAACTGAAGCTTTGGGGATTTGTGTTTTAAACTGTCCTGACACTTTCATTTTCCTTTTGACATTATATCAAACTATCTGATCCAGCAACCTTCTTTAAATTAATTAAAGGTCAGTTTTTCTCTGTTCTCCATTTCTGACATTTAAAAAAATTTCTGGTAACCATAAAGGGTGTGTGTTGATTTGCTAAGCAGCATGCAATTAAAAGTTAAGATACTTTTTTTTGCAACTGGCTCACATTTATGATGGTTGCAGCGTCCCAGGGTTATGTGATCCCCTTTCGCAACCTTCAATGGGGGAGCCGGATTCACTTAACAACCGTGTTACTAACTTAACAACCGCAGTGATTCACTTAACAACTGTGGCAAGAAAAGTCATAAAACGGGGCAAAACTCACTTAATAACCGCCTTGCGTAGCAATGAAAATTTTGAGTTGAGTTGTGGCCATACGCCGAGGACTACCTACCATATTTTTCAGAGTATAAAACACACCTTTTTCCCTCAAAAAAGAGGGTGAAAATCTGTGTGTGTCTTATACACTGAATACAGCATTTTTGGCCTCCTGAAATCCCGCCACCTTTGCAAAAATGGACATGCAGAGGATTTGGGAGGCTTGCAAAGTGCTCCTGAGGGCTGGGGAGGGCAAAAATGAGCAAAAACCGGGCAGTTTTTGCTCATTTTTGCCCTTCCAGCCCCCAGGAGCACTCTTAAGAGCCTCCTAAAGCCTCTGCATGTCCTATTTTTTTGTGAAAAACGGCCCGTTTTTTGCTCGTGTTTTCCCCCCCCCCAGCCCCCAGGAGCACTCTAAGGACCTCCCACAGCTCTGCATGCCCCCCCCTTTTTTTTTTTGCAAAAAACGAGGCACGCAGAGGGTTTGGGAGGCCTGCAGAGTGCAAAAACTTTTTAAAAAATGTTACCTCTTCAAAATCATAGTATGTCTTATACTCCGCTGCGTCTTATAGTGTGAAAAATACAGTATATACCACATTAAAAAAGGGGGAGGCCTAAAGGCAATGGCCTGGATGATTATTCTACCTTCTTTTTTCCTTTATCCAAATAATCTGATATATTTGTTGAAGCCAATCTAATCTGCAGCCTCCTCCTGTCTGTTTGCACAGGAACATTATTGATGGTGGACAGCGAGGAAGAGTATTTCCCAGAAGAAATAATTAAGCTGAGAAGGGATGTTGATAACGGACTGTCGCTCGTGGTGTTCAGTGATTGGTACAACACCTCGGTGATGAGGAAAGTCAAGTTTTATGATGAAAACACAAGGTGAGAGAGGTTGGAATCCTTTGTAAAACGGTTGTCATTTCCAAGGTTATTTATTGATGGGGAAGAAGGGCAACTAAATGGCAGAGATATGGGAGTGGGGAGATGGGGGGGGAGACCCAAAGGTGCTTTTTCAGGAGGCAACTGGACTTTCTTGTTTCTTGTTTTGAAGACGTTTCGCTTCTCATCCAAGAAGCTTCTTCAGCTCTTACTGGATGGTAGGAAATGGATGGATTTATACTCCTTGCAGACAGCTGGTCATTTGCATCCTTTTAGAGAGTCATTGAGACCCCTTGGAGGTTTATCTGGGTCCTCAGGGTCACCTGAGTGGTGCAAATGATTCCTGTAGTCTGCAATTTTTTCCCCTCTGGAAATCCATTCTTATTCACACACCATTCCAAGGGTGCTCATCCCAAATTGTATGGCTAAAAGTCTGTAGAGATTCTCAGTCATCCAGGTCATGGTTGTCCCAAAGGTGCTTTTTCAGGAGGCAACTGGACTTCCTTGTTTTTTTTTCCTTTTGAATACTTATCCAAGAAGCTTCTTCAGCTTTGAAGAAACATCTTCAAAAGAAAAAACCAGAAAGTCCAGTTGCCTCCTGAAAAAGCAACTTTGAGACAACCATGAACTGGATGACCCAGAATCTCTACAGACTTTTATGAGTGGGGAGAGTTAAGGGAAAGCAGTGGAAAAACTGAGGCTCAGGGCTGGGGGGGACCAAGCTGGGAATGGTTTGGATTTGGGCAGGTCCTCTGTTAATGATTGGTGGGATTCGGTTAAGGACAGACAGGGGAAAGGCGGGATTGCTGTTGCTAAGCAATGAGGTCATGTGAAAAATGGTCGTAAGTCACTTTTGTCAGTGCCATTGTAACTGAACTATCACTAAATGGAACTGTTGTAAATCAAGAGAGAACATGTATTTTCTTGCTGCCATGAATAGCAAGAAAGGCGTTCCATACTTCCATGAATATAAAAGGCCAGTGACCTATGTGTTACATTGGGCCCATAGGTTTCTTTTGTGGGGCTGGGAGAACTGTTAAGAGATTTTGTGTCTCTTTGTACCAAAGCTGCTTCTGTTTGTTCCATTCAGACCTACTTCAAAAATAGGATATGATAAGATAGGGTAGAGTAGGACAGGACAGGACAGAATGTAGAATAGAAATAAAATAGAAATAAGAATAGAATAGAATAGAATAGAATAGAACAGAGAACAGAGAACAGAACAGAAGAAAACAGAATAGAATTCTTTATTGGCCAAATGTGATTGGACACACAAGGAATTTGTCTTTGGTGCATAAACTCTCAATGTACATAAAAGCCCTGTGACAAATCATGATCATAGTCATCATAAAAATACATTAATCATAAATCATAAGATACAACACTTAGTGATAGTCATAGGATACTAACTAAGCAATCAACATAAAAAGATCTTCAAACTCTGTTTCTTTTTTCGCTTTGCTTGAAATTAATTTTAAGCCACAGAAGCTGGTCCAAATATAATAATATTGAGCCAACTTTCATTGCATGGGGCCTTCTCCTCGCTTAGCCACGGGGAAGGCAGAGCAACCTGTGAGCCTGCATGCTCCAATTTATGGCACTCAATCCCGGCTTAGCATTGCTTGCAAATCCATCAGCAAGTTGGGGTTCTTTTGGCCTTAGAAGTCTGATTAGAAAATTCAGATTTGTGATTAAAGCGCCGTCTTTCACTGGGCTTTTTGTTCCTTCAGTGATGATGCTTTTAAAATGTAAAAAAGGTTTTTACAAAATGGATAAGATAAAGGCACTGTAAACCTTTAATTATTTTAAGCCAGGATTACAGGGATTGCTGAGGTGCTAGAGACTTCTAACTCCATCCTCAGAAGGCCTGCCTAGAATTTTATTTTAAGCCTCTTAAGAGCAGACATCTGGAGGGGCTTCTTCTGTCAAATGAGGATGCTTACTGTGGCCCTTGGTGGTGACAGCACTCGTGACATGTATATTAGGTGTATGGGATCTTCTTTGTACAGGTAGTCCTCAAATTATAACAGTTCATTTAGTGACTGTTCAAAGTTAACAACGACACTGAAAAAAAGTGGCTTATGACCATTTTTTCACACTTACAACCACTGCAGCATTCCCCCTGGTCATGGAATAGCAATTCAGGCAACTGACTCACATTTATGACGGTTGCAGCGTCCCAGGGTCATGTGATCCCCTTTTGCAACCTTCAGTGGGGAAGCCATTGATTCATTTAACAACCCTATTTCTAACTTAACAATTGCAGTGATTCACTTAACATCTGTGACAAGAAAAGTCGTAAAATGGGCCAAAACTCACTTAACTAATTTCTCTCTCGGCAACATAAATTTTGGGTTTAATTGTGGTCGTAAGTCGAGGACTACTTGCATTACTGTTGTTCCTGTGTCATCTAACAACCATGTCACTAATTTAATAACCTGAGGGATTCAGTTAACAACCGTGGAAGATTGTAAAATGGGCCAAAATTCATTTAACACATGTTTCAGCAACAGAAATTTTGGGTTCAATTGTGGTCATAAGTTGAACACTACCTGTATATAGTAACTTTTTTTTATACATATTTTTTATAAATATAAAAACATATATCATATAAACATATATGATATATGTTTTTTATACATATATCCCCCCCCCCCCCAAACATCTCCATGTATAATTCCCAGTGCTCTTCTGCTGATTTCTTTTAGACAGTGGTGGATGCCAGATACCGGAGGAGCAAATATTCCAGCACTGAACGATCTTCTCTCCGTCTGGGGCATGGCCTTTAGTGATGGGCTCTATGAAGGAGACTTTACCTTGGAGAGCCAGGAAAGTAAGTACAGGTAGTTCTCATTTAACGACTATTCGGCTAGTGACGGTTCGAACTTACAGTAAACCTCCCCGAAGGATCCTGTGATGATAAGGGCCAGTTTGAGGGACAGATATCCATGGAATACCTAGAATTCATTGGCTACAGATTTTTTAATTAAAATGAACTAGAATTGTCTAACACAGGGATCCCCAACCCCTGGGCCGTAGCCCACTACTGGGCCTTGAGCCATTCAGAATCGGGCCACGGAAGGGGTGGGTGAGCACGCACAAACAGCCCCACTCACACAAGCAGCGAGGGTGAACATCAGTGGTGGGTTTCGACCGTTTTGGACCATTTCGGCTGAACCGGTAGTGGTTTGGTGCCCTGGGTCTCTGGAACCGGCAGTGACCCAGGCCTGTCACGCCTCTGAACCGGTTCTCCGGGCGGGGCCTATGGTGCCACCATCTTGTTTTTTGCTTCTGCGCATGCGCAGGACAATTTTTGCTGCACATGCGTGCAAAGCGCACAGACAGCGCGCCCACGAGCAAACCAGCAGTAATGCCTGCCAGGACCCACCCCTGGTGTACATATGTGCTCCATTTGCGTGAGCTGCGTGTGTTCGCCCCTGCCCCTCTCACAAAGGGAGCCACAGACGCGCACCTGCCCCGCCCCTCTTGCGGAACCATCCCTCCCTCCCCCCACATCCGCAAAGCCGAAAAGTTTGGGGAATTCTGGTCTAACACGCCTATGTATGTATTTTATTTTCAGTGAATTATGCCTCGGGATGTAGCATTGCGAAATTTCCAGAAGATGGCGTTGTCATTGCACAGACCTTTAAGGATCAAGGTACCGAGTCCCTCTTCCTGTTCCCTATTCTTCTAGATGTGATCTTGAGTCTTCTTTCTTTTCACGAGAAAAGCTTAGTTCATTGGGGAGGTGTAGAGAAAGTGTGTTATTTACGGTGTACTAAGTGTGTAAGAAACGAAGGAAATTGATCTTTACGTCTTTGTTTGAGGGAATGCTCTTTGATCCTTCATTACTTTCCTCGCTCCCAGGCCACTAAATTCCCCTAAGCAGCTTTCTGAATGCCAAAATATAGGATTACAAACACCTGACATCTCAAGTACCAGCAGCATAAAATCACAATTATGCACTGAGAACGGGGGTTAACCTCCAGTGAGGTCAGGCATCCCTGAATCTGTTCCTAAGGAGCCCGCCAGCATCTTAGTGAGGTAGAAGAGGGTGGGAGATCTGGGCTAAACCATTGCACAGGAGAAATCTTCAGCTATCTCTGAAACATTTTACCCCCAGATCACAGGTGGGTTCCTACCAGTTCAGCCAAACGGAGAATGGCATCCTGGGTCGCAGAACCGGCAGTGACCGTGGCTGGACACACCTCCGAGCTGCTTCCCCAGTCGCTGCAGCCATCTTTTTTTTTTTAGTTCTGTGAATGCACAGAACAATTTCTATTCAGCTGTGCATGTGCACAAGTGAAGTAGGCGCACGAGCGAAGTGGGCGTATATGCGAAGCAGCAATAATGCCGGCCAGAACCCACCCTTGCCCCAGATGAGCTTCTGGAAAACAAAGAGAGAGGGAGAGAGAGAGAGAGAGAACTTGACTTACAACCATTTGTTTTGTGACCGTTCAAAGTTACAACAAACACTGAAAAAAGTGCCTTCTTTTTTTTTTTACACTTACAACCACTGCAACATGTCCGTGGCCACGTGATCGAAATTCCGGCAACTGGTTCATATTTATGACGGTTGCAATGTCTCATTGATCATTGTGTGGCAAGCAAACTCAAGATTCATATAACAACCGCAGCCACTGCAGTGGTTCGTTTAATGACGGCAAGGAAAGCTGTAAAACGAGGCAAAACTCGTATTAACGATTGTCCCCCTCAGCAACAGAATTTGGGGCTCCCTTGCGGTCATAAGTCGAGGACTACCTGTGTTCTAGACCGGCTGAAGCTTCTGGGTGCTGTTTGACAGAGTTTGATCTCTTCCCTCCTAGGTCTGGAAGTTCTAAAGCAGGAGACGGCCATTGTGGAACATGTCCCCATTTTGGGCCTTTTCCAAGTTCCTACAGAAGGTGGGGGAAGGATAGTTTTGTACGGGGACTCGAACTGCCTGGACGACAGCCACCGACAGAAAGGTGTGTAAAACTGTGCCATGCATTCCGGTTATCACAACCCTCTGCTAAATAACTAATTCCCACAACGCTTCAAAACTATTTAGTAAGGCTGTACTATTATTATTCATTCATCCGCCTTTCCTATTATCTGTCTCCCTTTCTATTTATAATTTTGTTGCTTGTATCTTTACAATTTATATTGCTTTATTTAGTTTCCTAGTATGATTTATGTCAATTGCTTATTTAGTATCCCACGGCTATCACTAAGTGTTCTATCTTACGATTTATGATGAATCTGATTTATCACTTATATTATATCAGAAATGAGTACACCCCCTCACATTTTGTAAATATTTAAGTACTGTATTTTTGGGAGTATAAGACGCACCTTTCTCTCCCCCCCCAAAGAGCGTGGAAATGTTGGTGCATCTTATATACCAAATACAGCCATTTTTGGCTGATGCCCCCATTTTTTCGACAACAGACCGTTTTTCACCCGTTCTTCACAAAAATGGGGCCATTTTTGCCTTCGCCCAGCCCTGCTGAAGCCTGCAGAGTGCTCCTGGGGGCTATTGAGGACAAAAAACTTTTTTTTCTTACTTACCTCTTCGACATCTTGGTGCGTCTTATACACCAGTGCATCTTATAGTCCGAAAAATACGTTATATCTTTTCATGTGACAACACTGAAGAAATGGCACTTGACTACAATGTAAGTAGTGAGCATACAGCTTGTATAACAGTGTAAGTGTGCTGTCCTCTCAAAATAACGCAACACACAGCCATTAATGTTTAAACACATGAAAATATATTCTTACATATTTACAAAATGTGAGGGGGTGAACTCCTGTGATATACTGTATAGCTTTTGTGTAAAATGAGAGCTTATGCACTGAAGACAAATTCCTTGTGCATTCAATCACGCTTGGCCCACAGAAGAATTATGTCCTCTCCTATCCTACCCTACCTTAGCAAAGTTACAGGTTTCACAATGGAGGACTGTGCAATGCAGTTATGCACACTTGTGTACAAATCAAATAAAAATAAGCTTGCACACCTTGGGATCTGAAATTTGTAGATGTACAAGCCATTGGTAAATTTTCTTGTATTTATTACTGATATTTCTGGTCATGACACTTTCATCAGCCACTGCTGAAATTACAAAGAATTGACAGCTTCACTCTGAACCGTGATTTTTCTTTCCTCCAAGATTTGGGACATGGATCTTGTTCACACCTCAGTCAAGTAGGTGGCTTGTTATGTATTACAATACACAAACCCTTCCATGTTGCACTTCTGTACACAAGCCAAGACTGACTGGGTTTGTACACGGTTTATTAACAAAACGTAACAAAAACATACTTGTACAGCATTTCAAACCATATCTTCGTGTAGCTTAGTGTTTCCTCAAACTTTGCAAATTTAAGATATGTGGACTTCAATTCCCAGAATATTTCAGCCAATATTCTGACTCTGGAATTCTGGGAGCTGAAGACTGTACCTCTTAAAGTTGCCAAATTTGAGGGAGCTGAGGGAGCTTGATGAAGAAATTGCAGTTAAAAACCTAGCTTTTAAACTCTGCGATGTTGAGCCCAGTCAGTGATTTGTGTGGTTAAATTAACTATTGGAAAAGACTGAAAATTATACTGCATGCTCATTGAAAATTTGAGACTTTTCCAGAATATATTGGTAGATTATACCTCTATTTTATTTTATAACTAGTTAGCCGGTAGCATTGGATAGATTGCTCTAATAAATAAGTTTGAAATAGGGTCATCTTCCTGTTCCAATCTCATTAGAAGGATTCTGTTGGAACAAATTATTCTGACTTTATGGGAGGTAGGCTGACTGTTCCAGTTATGGAATGGAGGTTGAAACAGCCTGTGTTCAAGTTGGGCCAATTCTGATCATGTTGGAACAGGTGATACTCAACATATTTGTTGAAGTGGGAACAGGACATTTTGATATCAGAACCCTGCAACCTCCAGTTGTTTTATAAATATCTACTTTGAAAAAAATTAAAATAAATGTACTCTGATGATTCAGAATCATAGTTTGCATTGATCTCAGAACATAAATGGGTATGTCTAGTTTAATGAAAAGAAGGACTAGGGGTGACATGATAGCAGTGTTCCATTATCTCAGGGCCTGCCACAAAGAAGAGGAGTCAAACTATTCTCCAAAGCACCTGAGGGCAGAACAAGAAGCAATGGGTGGGAACTAATCAA